ATCTCTGCCCAGCACTGATCTAGACTCTCTCGCCTCGTGGAGTTCTCTCTCGCTCTCTCTGATACAAACTATTCTAGGTCCCGACGGAGAAGAGTTTAGTACCTGAATACGGCTGTATTCATTTTTCCCGATGGTAAAGACCGTTGTGTTGGAAATTCAACATCTTTATATAGGAGTATATTTGTATTCATGTTTAACAATGAATTTAGATTAGTTAACCATTTTCTCGTAATTGATTTTTTTTGTCTTTATGCAGCATGACGTCATAGGAAATAACACCTACTTTCTTGAATCGTGACTAATGACAATCTTGGTGTTGGCTTCATTTAAAACATTATTGTCCCAGACGCTGCATAGATTTAATTACTTTGGTACGTTTGCTTTAAATATAGTTACTTTACTTTCCTTTACGGGAAAACAAAAGTACCGAACGTTACTTTGAACCATGGAGCTTAACCCCATTCTAACTCATTACCACTTGACCAATCAATGCTCACACTGAGCTGTGCTTATCAAAATGTTCACGATACTCTCGGCTCAACAAAGCCATTCCCCTCATCTTTATAAATATTCATAAATTTACAATTCAAACTGAAAGGAGAGTTTTTTATTGGCCGATTGAATAACATGGTTTTCAAATGATATTGTTTTGCACTATATTCGTTGATTAGATTCAACTGCCATTGGAAATCATATGTATTATATAAATATATAATATGGTGGAATGCCTTTGCTGCTTTAAGAGTATCATTCCTAGCCGTAAAACGTTACACATTATGAACATAGTACGTACAAGGCACTGACACAAGACTCGACTGCATGGATGCAAAGCGCATGGCAAAAGGTGCATATAGGGCTCGACCACTTAGTCTGGTTAGTGGATAAAGCACGTGACACGCGGTGCGTGCAAGACTGGACTACGAATGTAAGACAGAATCCCGGGGTACAAAATTCAAAGATACAAAATCCCAAAATCAAAATTTTGCTTGTCATTTACATTTTTGTATATGACCTCCATGTTCAGAATTAAAATATGTAAACCCTAAACAATGGCAATTAACACATACAGATATCTATAACAATGTCGCATACGACTTATGTACCACTTCCGTGTCACTGAGAATGTTCTAGAACCGTACTGTGTATGGGTGGAATATTCTAGATTTTGTTTGGAAACTGGTTGAATAGGTAATAGAACACTGTAGGAGGCAATAGAAGGTAATGGAACATTCTAGAAATTGGTAGTAAGTTCCAGACTCATTATGTATGCTGATGTAATGGTCTATTTATAAACAGTGATTCCGTTGAATTGTATTGGAGTTTAAGTATCTAGTTATTGGAGGTTCGGAGTTTTACCACGTTATTGTACTTGATGTTTGCAGAGTATAATAATACCAATACCAGTTGAAACCTCATCTGTTGGCTCCGTGTTCGTATTTTATCATCGCCGCCAGGGAAGTCTTTCTGTTACTGTTGCCATTTTGGTATTTGAACCATCACACCTGTACTATACCAATTACGGTAATATTACGTTGCGTGTGACACACAATCAATTATTAATATTCGATAGTAAGTGTACAACTTAAAAAAATAACACCAGTAATATAAAAATCGAATAATATGACAACTACAAAAATATAGTCAGGTTAGTCACCTGAATAAATATGTCGTTTAGACCAGTTAACCAACCATCGAGTGGCGATAAAACGATGTTGATACGAAGCGTGAGTGAACGTTCATCCCTTATACCGAGAGAACAATGTACTAATAACCGACTTTTATGTGCAAATAGGTGAAATAAACAACATCATTAAATTTAGATTTAATGTTACTTTTGATTTTTAATATGTGAATGAACAATAAGTGGTTAGTATGGTTTGGTAGATGCATTTACATATAAACTATTTATGTCACTAATTTGGTTACTATTCAGGGTGCCATTAAGAGCATTATATGTGGTCGAAATGTGAGTCACATATGGGTGGCGTATTACTGCAGTCCTGTATCATGACTGTACTGTCACCCAGGAACCATGTTACATCTATGTATATCGTCCACCCATGTCGTGCAAATCAATACCAGTGATATCTAACAGGTGGTTATTCACGCACGCAAATTGAATTGGGCGGTCATCGTTGTATTATTATTTTTATGGTTGAATCCATTATGGCCGACACAAGAGGTGTGGTCATTTACGATTTCTGAACGTGTTAAGCCGCGTATTGGCTGTATATGTGTTGTATGCACAGTGCTCTCTGTGTATTCAACCTACGCACAGCGTTGGGTGGATCGGGGGCGTTAATGAAC